TCATTGAGACTGTAATGCTATTCTGCCGTTTGCAGAATATGAAATGCCACTAGAATGGGTAAATATGGGTTTCAACCGGTAAATAACCCAAGCATGAAAGCAAAGGAACCAACACTGAACGTGTTAAAGTGGCCAGCACAGTGGCCTGACATGAAACCAATCGAAAATTTGTGGTTCGCCATCCACAAGGCAGTTGCTGCTTCCAAACCAACCACTGTAGGATCACTTTGAGAACAAATTTAAGAGTCCTGGTCCAAAGCTGCCCAAATGTTATGCCAAAATATGACACTGAACTAAATACTTAATGATAAATATATATTAATAATTAATTGTTCAAAAGTGTTAACTAAGAAATTCTTTACTTGTTGGTAATTTTTTAAATTTTAAATCTATTTTTCAAAAGTGGTGCTATTATTTTTTCTCCTAATTTGACCAGTCACTAAAGTTCCTTAAATAACTTAAAAGCCTAACTAAAAATGATGTTTTTTTATTGTTCGCAGATTTGTAAGAGTCTTCCCTTTCTAAAAATGTGCTTAAAGTTTCATTATAGTTAAAAATGTGAGTTGGGAAACTAATTGAAAATTGCTTGTGGTGGTGGTGCTATTATTTTTTTCACAGCTGTATATATCCATAGGGTTTACTTGTGCTATATATTTGCTGTTGGCATAGAAAATAATTTGTTGATACATGCAAATATTTAAATAACTTTTAGTATCCCTAACCAACACCCAAATAAATGAATGTAATGGTAAGTGTATAATTTTTGCCATTTTATTTGCAACCTTTAACTTTTTTAAAACATTCTTGAACCATTCTCAACTTTGCAACCATACAATTGGCCTTTAGCTAATTGGGAACTGAATAGAAGCCGACAACGAAAAATCGTTTAACCTTCTGTCTTGGAAAACCACAACTAAATACTTTAATCTGTTGATGTTTGCTTTTTTAACAAAGCACTATGGGTAAAAACCCCGTTTTTTTGGCATTAATGAAAAAAATAGAGCTAAAGCTCTACAAATTGGCATGAATGTTCGTTAGACTAAAGTAGAAATGCCTAGCTGCCGCCCCCGTACGACTTGGATCCCATTTACGTTGTATTTATTATAAAAAAAGTATTCAACGGATAAATTATAATAAAAGATAAAAGATCCTTTAAAACATTTTAGAACTTTAAGAAAATATATTTGATTGACTGATTGAATGATTGTTTGGTTAAAAGTAATTTGATTGGAATCGCTCCAACGTACAATTGCATTTCGATTGGTACTTGTTTAACTAAGCAATAAATTGGATAATTTTCGTTTGAATTGTAATAGTTTCATCTTGGTTAGTCAGTGTTTGTCAATACTCTTTAAACTATAACATTTTATTGCGTCTGATTCACGATTGTTGTTGGTCCAGACCTCCAGCAGCGCTGCATGAGTGAACTCATAAGCTTCTGCAAAATTTAAAATTATTCGAAAAGGACTAAAACGGGCAAAAAGCATTAACACCACGTGATTCTATAATATTTGGTTAATAACTTGTAACTTGAACCTGTGCACCAGCAGTGGTGTGCTGTGCAAAAGTAATATTCCACAGAAAACACGTACAATTGTTAGTACCAAGCTAAATAGACACACGAGCAAAGCATTTGGCAATTAAATAACTACACACAACTATACAAAAACATGTATTAACAATTAATTTAAATACTTCAACTTTTTTTGTACATATTTTTTCTTGTATATATACTTTGTAATCGAGCTACAATTACAGCTGCAAGTTGCTCAATTTTTCCGCACTTTTTCGCAAGTCAAAGCATCTCAAAATCAGCCGACTTTGAAAGCGCGCAAAAAACATTTGGTACTAGGTAAAAATCTTCTTAAACCAGATTTGTTTTATCTGGATATTTAGGAATCAGAAAACTTAAATCGCATTCAAATCTTTTACCCAAAAAAAATTACATAAATGCCAAAACTCGGTCTTTTTACCCATAGTGCAAAGGTGAATACACTTGAACTTGAATATTGTTTGGAAATTAATTGAGTTTTGTTGTGAGCACACAGACAGACAGAAATACAGACACAACATTTAAACGAATTGTCTTAAAATATTTTATACAAATTTGTTTTGCGCTTTTGGTTCTTTAAATTGTGTTGATTGTTGTGTTAAGGTTTGGTCAGTATTTAATATGGTGCGAAACCGTTCGTGTAGCAATCAAAACATTATTCAAATATTCACCAGTTTGGGGTCCAAAGAGTCCGTTAACATTTTGATTTGTTTTTAGAATTATTACGCTTTTTCGTGCACCACTTGGCCGCATATCTGATATCTCTTTTTGCAATAAATGGAAATGTTATTAAACACAATTTTCACTAGCAATAAAAAAATTAAAGCCAAGCACCAGCAATACACACCCACACAATGCGTCCCTTCGGCTCTTCTGCCACAAGCCGACCTTCAAATACATGGAGGGCCTCCACAGAAACACTATGTAAATACTTACAAAAGATAAACTCATCCATGGCCTTGATAATAATTATACCCGGTACTCGAAGAGTAAATAGGGTATATTGTATTTGTAGGGAATAACGGTTGTATGTAACGCACAGAAGGAAGCGTTTCCGACCCCATAAAGTATATATATTCTTGATCAGCATCAATAGCCGAGTCGATAGAGCCATGTCTGTCTGTCCGTCTTGTTTGTCGGCTAGTTCTCAAAGACTATAAGAGCTAGGACCACCAAATTTTGGCTCCGGACTGCTGTATGCTGACACTGGAACCAGTGTATTTCAAAAATGAGCTACGCCCCCTTCCGCCCCCGCAAAAGGGCGAAAACCTCCCAAATCTACAGTTTTGAAGATAAAAGAAAACTAAAAACGCCATTCCGTAGGAAATGGCCATATCTATCAGATCACCAAATTGGGATCTGATCGGATCATTATGATAGCCACAATGGAGAAATTAATTTGCAGTGGCTAAACCCACCCTGTCCCGCAGCTTTTGTTGTTCTTTTTACATTCTCTCATTCACACTCTGCTTCTGCTTCACTCGGCCCCTGCCTTTGCCGTCCCTCTGCCAATTTCTCTACCGACTTTTAACCCACCCCGTCCCGCAGCTTGTATTTGTTTTTTTTTTGTGTGCGGGCGCTGCCTCTGCTTCTGCAGCGAGTAAGCAGTATGTGTGTCTAGGGAAGGGCGGCGAGCGTGTTGGTGTGAGAAGTGTTGTAGATGTAGATGACAAATGAAGAAAAAATATAAAATTTGACAAAACACATCTGAGGTGCAGATGCACTATTGTCCCAATGACCAGTTTTGGTGGCTGTTTACGCGGAATTAGCGCAAAGGGCTTATGGCCGGGAGCAATTAGTATTTTGTATAAGTAAAATGAATTTGTAGTATTAAGCTATTGAATTGTTGCATTTACGACATACTCACAGAAGCTTGTTGCTATAGAACATACATGTAATATGTGAATACGATAGAGAAAGAGGAAGAACATACATTTAATAGGTGAATATCGAAATTGAAAAGAAGAAGAGATTAAATTGATTTGAATACCGACTTGGTCGAACAGCAGCACTTGGCTTTTTATTTCGACATTTTGATTCTGAACTGGTTGCGAGGAGTTGCGGAAACAGTGGCCAAAAGCTAATTTTTAAAAGTTAAAACCAAGACACGGTTTTTAACGCTCTGTATTAGAAAAATAGTGACCATCAAAGTTGCGTACAAGAAATTTTCATAGATGGCGCCACTTTCGAAAAATCTGATGTGAAACTTAGCGGTCATTATTGCAAAGAATGTGCAGGGAAAAAGTACGAATTTTATTTCTGTTTTAAATATCTCATAAATTGGAAAATACGATTAACTGATCCAATTTTTTGATGCATCTTATTGAGTAGGCTTTTTACTACGTGTTCTGTAATGTGAACGATATCTAGTGGTTGGCGATGTATTCTACATCTAGATGTAGTCCTGAGTGACGGGTATGAAAGTTGTGACGCGTAAGAAGCGTCTCACACGTCCCTTCTCGTTTGCATTCATTTGGTAGTGTTTCTCTCTCTTTCACATACTCAAAACCTTGTTGAACAACGCTCTCGTTACAAAAAAAAAACAAAAACCGAACAGAAAACTGAATACAAAACGGGCCAAAAGCGCGTGCCCTGTAAACCGGAAAAATTGCTAACAAAATATGCTATCAGAAAATAGAAACACAAATGTAATTGTATTTATTGCACATTGATTATGCGAATGTTGTTGCACTTTTGGCCGTCGTTCAGTTGAGGTGTTTTTGGAGCTGAAATGCTATTGACAATGAATGTGTGCCATTAATCATATACCTTGTGGCACCCAAAACATTTCTGGTGCAACAGGAAATAATCATTTAGTTGAAGTGTTTCAGTTTGTCTGTAATTGAACTGAAGGTTGAATCTTGAAGGTGTGTGTATTGCTGGAGGTTTTTTTTTCGGTTATGGAAATATTCTGACTTGTGATTGTTAAGGAACTGTGGAGGAGGTTTTTTTTGGAGTCTTGTTTTTATACAATTTAAAGTCACTTTTAACGAGCGTTGATACGTGTTTTTTTAGCCATACCCATTGGAAACTACACGCCACCGGATATCGACTACAACGAGCGCTTCATGTGGGAGGGTGCCACCGATATGAGCGCCAACTATCGACATGCGCTGCAGCGTGGTCTGCCTTTTCCTATACTCACGGTGGCCGAGTACTTTAGCCTCGGTNTGACAATGAATGTGTGCCATTAATCATATACCTTGTGGCACCCAAAACATTTCTGGTGCAACAGGAAATAATCATTTAGTTGAAGTGTTTCAGTTTGTCTGTAATTGAACTGAAGGTTGAATCTTGAAGGTGTGTGTATTGCTGGAGGTTTTTTTTTCGGTTATGGAAATATTCTGACTTGTGATTGTTAAGGAACTGTGGAGGATGTTTTTTGTGGAGTCTTGTTTTTATAAAATTTAAAGTCACTTTTAACGAGCGTTGATACGTGTTTTTTTAGCCATACCCATTGGAAACTACACGCCACCGGATATCGACTACAACGAGCGCTTCATGTGGGAGGGTGCCACCGATATGAGCGCCAACTATCGACATGCGCTGCAGCGTGGTCTGCCTTTTCCTATACTCACGGTGGCCGAGTACTTTAGCCTCGGTCGCGAGGGCTTCTCTTGGGGCGGACAGTACAGGGCTGCGGGATATTTTGCAAGCATAATGCTGTGGTCTTCGCTGGCCTCGTGGCTGCTGATGAACCTTTTACTGATTGCCGTGCCACGGTATGGTGCGTATATGAAGGCTCTTACGGGGGCCTTGCTCGTCTGCACCACCGTGGGATATCATTGTCTGTTGCCCAAGCGACCGTTGTGCATTTATTTGGAGGGCGGACGATTGGAGTTTCACTTTGGATGGTGCTACTGGTTGGTTCTGGTAGCAGGTAAGTGGAATATTCCAGAATTTCCCTTTTGGAGACTCATTTCTGTCCTTCTGTTCAGGTATCCTCTGCTTTATAGCGGGAGTTCTGATCTCCATCATTGATCTGGTGTGGCCGCATACCTTCTCCACGGTGCTGGAGGTGTACTATGGAACGCCCTATGACCGCCATGTGATCCTGGAGGAGTCCAGCGATGTGCGCTACCGCAAGCCCCGCAACAGTCGCAGCCTGGAGGATCCCCCTGGTCTAGGCTCTCGCATACTGCGCCGCTTAAGTTCGAAGGCACGTGACATGAAGCACGGTACGGCGCCGCTACGTGACAGTCCCGCTGGCATCTCCAACAACGCTGTCGGTGGTGGTGGTGGTGGAGGTGGCTTCGAGAACGAGGGCTTCCAGTCCGATGTTCCGAAAAGTCCGTGGCGCTATCCCTTCAGGCGTTCGCAGCAGATGCCGCCGTCGCACCAGCATCCGCTGCAGCAACAGCAGAGTCCCCATCAGTCGCACCATCCGCACCAGCACCACCATCAGCAGCAGCTCCAGTTTGTGGGCGGGCCCGTGGTGAAACATCCTATGCATCATATGCAACGCACCATGTCCCAGGACTCCGGGTCGAGTATTGGATCGGCAGCAGTGCAAATATCACCACTGCATAAGCATGCTCTGTCCCGAATGTTGCCGTAAGTTAAAGTCTTTGTTCACTTTTAAACCTCTAACCAATTTTATTTTTGACTTTCCCTTACCCTGGCAGTAATCCTCCCGTAGAACGTATACGTGACATGGATCACTGGTGATGCCATTGGACAAACCAATTCAACAATTAATTCTTGACTACAGATCGCTTAAAGAAACCGTAGATTAAAACTAAAACAATTGATGAAAAAATGCTACAAAAAAATATGTGATAATTTCTTAATTAAAAAAACAATCATTTAATTGACAACAAAAAAATAAGTAAAAGTTCGTTCGGCAAACAACTCTTTTTTGAGTTCAAAATTTTTAGTAACATTTGTATCTGGTCAATGTCTCATCGTCTGCGACCAACGAATTTCGCTGTAGCGATTAAATTAACAAAAAAATAATTTAATTGACAAAATCACAAAATCACAATTTTAATCTTAAAAAACAAAAATTCGCTAATTTAAAATCTAACTTTAATTAAATTATTTTAAATGTAAGAAAAAGATTGAGGACCTACAATACATTTCCAAGATAAGCACGTTTTTAGTGATGTTCATTTGTGATAAGATAGAATACTGCCACGCATACAAAAACACACTCGGATACACCATACATACATATATACATACATACACACACACACGAGCTAAGAATACAGAGAAAGAAAACAAAGAACACTAAAGAAAACAACCGATATTTTTTTTAGGAATTTGAAGGAATAATTTATTTTATATTATGTTCACGAATAAATATGAATTCCATGCCAGTGTCAATAGCGCTTAAGTCGATTTTGAAACAAAAGTGTAAACTCTTCGTTAAGTTTAATTTTTAAGCCTTAACCATGCTAAACAAAAACAAAAAGAACAAATGACGACAATGAAAACGAAGAAATGCTGAGTTTTAGTTTTGATTAATTTAGTAATAGAAGTAATCGAATTTATGGCTCTTTGGTAAGAGATTGCTTAGGTTTCCAATACTTGATTCTGTCCTTAAAATAAGAAGCCTATACAATGAGGTTCTTTAAAGATTTGATAATGGAAATGTAAAGTAAAGTTTAAGAAATTATGTATTAGATTGGTTCCTTAAAATTATATGCAGATGCATATGACAATTAATCTACAATAGGAATTAAAGGAATAGGTAGTGCCATGGCGAAATTAGTACCAAGGTGATGGATTTGTACGGTGAGGCGTGTAGCTGCTTTTGTTTTTTTTGCGAAAATCTTGTTTTGGGATTCGCCGAAAAATAGGCACTGCTAGGAGTACAAATACGGGCATACGAGAATGCAGAGACAAGTTCATCAAAAGGAGAGCGAGTTCGAAGGAAAATTTCGAATAGACATAGGCTTTAAATAGAGGTCGGCAGGGCGCCATTAGGCATTTTCGATCTGTATCGCTATCAACTAAAAGAGTTTCAGAGGCCAAGAAAGTTTTTTTCCATGTGTATAAGTGCAGTTTAAGTTAAATTTACACCGCCAAATTGGACCACCATGCTAGACCAACTATCCTGCGAGAGCCGCAAGGCATCGATTAGGTAAGGGAAGTGGGGGTGAAAAACAATAAGAAAAGGCGATACTGATACTGAACATTTGCCCACCTTTATGCATATGTACGACTAGATAAGCATTAGAGGAGGCTCGCCCGCTATAAGTACCAGCTGGAGTGACAAAAAACCGGCACATAAGTAAGCCATAGCGGAGACTCGGCCCTTTGAATTTGTCAGCTGGAGCGACAGAGAGTTTCGCCGGAGCTTTTGCCGCCGCTAAGCATGCAAGCAAGCAAGCGAGAGGGAAGACGGCGCACAGTACCAGGCAGACGGCGGCCACTTAAAACAGCGC